ATATTTCATAATAGATGTGTTTTTCTTCATATAGATAAACAATACAGTGCTCTACACTGTTGTATTAAAGCTTTAAATATTAAACTAAACTACAATTATTATTTTTTTTTTTATTGGAATGAATAGCCGCACTTCTTTTCCAGCCATTTTCTCCTCTGCACTCTGTACGTGTTTCTTGACGTTTTATTTGTTTTCCAACTGCTACAGTTTTATCAGGTTGCTGACCTGATTGTTTTCATTCAGTATATTTGGATAGTAGGATTAATGAATTACTGATGTAAAATATAGGATCCTGTCATTCAGGTCTGTTATGGTGAGGTGTTGGCTGTTTTTATTGAATCGTGTCAGATTCCAATGGCTTTTAAGACTCAATGTAGAAGTAGTGACATATTTTTTAATAATGAATGCTCCTGCCATTTCTTCTAGATCTCATAACGACCCCAATGAATCAGTCTCTGAATGCAAATGACAGCACATCCTCCTTTTTATGCAACTTTTTGCCCCGCAACATTTTTAACCCTCTATAGGCCAAATGACCAATTATAAGTCACTTTCATAACGCTTAATTAGAAAATTGAGTCTCCTCCCCATCTGTCACCGAGATCTAAAAGCACAAGATTTATATCCAGCAATTAAGGAAAAATAATGCTGCGTGGCTGTACATGTTATTATGGCACTGACAAATTAGATGAACCATTGTATGATGTGTTACCTATGGTAAATTTAGTTAAAAAGAAAAAGTGAAATGTTAAAGAGTAAAGTTAACAAGTAAAATATGTAAGTGCCTGTTTCAGCATTAATGCTAAAAGGTTATTTAAAAAAAATCTTCTTATCAAATCACGTTTGTTTGTTTTTTTTAAATATTAGGGCAAGTGACTGTTTCTTATTATATTGACATCAATGTTTACCATCCGAATATGAATGTTTTTTTAAATGTCACCAAAGTTATAAGGTCTTGTCCTCCAATAACATTCAAATCAAAATGTAGATTTTCAAATTATTTTACTATAAAGGGTAAATAATCATTATAGCTGTGACATTTATGCCTATCCAATGTTGACTGTAAAGATTATCTTAACTAACTGATCACTAGATTATAGTTTTTATGACATTAAGGAGACCAGACCGCTGCAACTGACCGGCCTTTATTTATCCTTGTTTTGTCCTTTTTAATCAGCTACTATGTAGAAGATTGATTTCTTCTTTTTTTTTTTGTAATATGTCTGTTTTGGATGATCCACTTCGATTAGAGTTTTTTTTATGATGAGCATAAAAAGTTTTAAGGAGTCGTTTTCTCCTTGATTTGGTCAACCTCTTCCCACAGGAGCAAACAATCAAATGTTTCTCACTAATCATATTTTACTATTACTGAGAATAGAGCTAAGGCTCAATAAATTGTTTCTGTATTTATAGATAGACCCGGCTGTTTTTCTTTTGACATTTTCGGCCATGTTGTTAAGTTCAGCTGAAAGGTCAACCCCTCTGCCTCATTTTATGTCCCATGAAACAAGAAATCATGGATAGCAAAGACCTCGGTGTAATAATTTAGCATTACATGAGACAATAAAGAAAAAGGGGATTTATTATGTAACATTCTCCAAAATCATGCCTACTTACCAACATCTCCTTTTCAGTGACAGAAAGAACATTTTTGGATTCGATTTTTTTATTATTATTATTCACCTTGGCTGTTGGGGTTGATGCTGAAGTTGAAGTTGGCTGGCAACACCTGGCCAGCCCTCAGGTTATTTCCTCCATGATCCAACATGTTTACAGGCTGTACTATTAATGCTGCGACACAAAACCAAAAGGTAGCTCCACTTCCACTTGCTCCCCACCTGAAGGGCTGCAGAAAGCCAATATGTCAACGACAACCCGTGATGATTCCATAAAGTATTCAGCTATCAATGCAAGATAAAAAAGAAAAAAAAAGAAAGAGGAATAGCTCCCCCCCTCTTACACAAACAAGGACCAACTTCCTGGTTGGCACATAGATCAGGTCAATTCAGGAAGATAAAACTTGGTTTGAACTCCATGTTGTAAAAGCAGATCCATAAAATCTTCATAAACCAAGCAATAAATCACATGATAACGCTATAAAAATTATTTTTTTTTAGGAAACTTAGAAAAGCTGTTGAAGATAATTTGCAAACATGCTGAATCATCTGCTCAAAACAGCTATTTATGGCTCTGATTAACTTAAAGGACATAAAAAGACTTTTTTCCCCTTTGGTTTATAAAATAGATTACTGTTCTGTGATGATCTTACCTGTCTTACTCGATCCCACAGCTGCACAGAGAGGCAACTGGGTAAAACATGAGAATGTGGAGCTGAAAAGAGTTGTTGGAACCAGCTCCTCCTCTCAACAGCTCCTATAACTGGGATTTCCCCCTCCTCCCTGCAGGAAAGACTCACCTGTAATTAAAAGGTTGCAACATGCGGTGTTGACGTGAGAAGAAGAGGAACTAGCCCTGACCTGTTTTTCCAAACAAAGCTTTGGAAAATATTGAGATTCTAAGGCATAATTATGAAGTCAACATCATTTAAGCGTATCTCTTGGTCATATAGTTTGGAAAAAGAAAAAAAAGAGCACTTTTTTTTATTTTTCATTCTTTTTTTGGGCAAAGATGATTTACCTTATCAGAGCGACTTGCTTCCTTACCTCTCAGCTTGAACTTTTATGAGAACTGTATTTTTCTGATTATAGATACAAGTATAGTTTTGTGACAAATAAAGATAAAAGTATCTGTTTTCTCGTCTTTTCATTTTCAAATGATACTAAATCAAAGAGGGCTTCATTTGAGAAAAATGTAGGCCATATATATATATTATATTAACTGTTAGAATAAAGTCCAGGTCACTTCTGAATATCTTTTTTTTATCTGCATTAAATCAGCTTGTAGTCAAGTGACCTCTTGCAAATAAGCCTGTTGGCGACGAAAAGCTGATCCCTCTCAATAATAATGATTTTGCTTGTTTATCCAAACTGTTGTTTGTAACACTTTCATCTAATAAGCTATAAAGTCCGTAACCTCTATGCTTGGGCAGAACAGTGAGGCTGGGAATGGGGTTTGATTGTATTCTCTGCATCTTTCAATTCTTGCAAGAGTTAAAGAGTAACTAGGTTTGATTTTCACCCGTCTCCATTGTTAGATGAATTCATTGAGATGATCCGTTATTTTACATTTACAAGCTACACTAATTATTGACTGTAAAACTTGGTAACTTTGAACAGTTGATTCAAGTTGTTAGGTTCTTTATCTGGAAATATACGGAAGAAGATTAGGGCTACTGAAAAAAAAAATGTTAACTGATTTTTAAAATTTTATTTCAGTATAGTATGGTAAAAAAGTCAGAATTCTGACTTTGATCTCAGAATTCTGACTTTAAACTCAGAATTCTGACTTTTTCTATTGTCAGAATTCAGTCAGAATTTTGAGATTAAAGTCAGAATTCTGAGAAAAAAGTCAGAATTCTGACTTTAATCCCAGAATTCTGAGAAAAAAGTCAGAATTCTGACTTTTTTCCCCATGTTAAACTGAAATAAAATTTAAAAATCAGTAAACTTTTTTTTTTTTTCCAGTGGCCCTAATCCTCTTCTGTAGAAATAACAAAAAAATAGATTTAAAATATATTTTTTTAACTTTGATTTTCAGTTCTCGTGAAGGAATGATGGGGTTTTTGCTGTTGCCTTCCAGAGAAAGAGGGCCAATAAAGCTGAATGTTTACTGGTGAAGTCAACAGTGTTTCAATGGTCTCATTCCTCCCTTGCAATGGTTCGGTCCCCTGCCTTTATTATTGCTAATGCATATTTGGTTTGACTGTAAATAATGACGTAGTTGAAAAGTTTATGAATATAAGACACATCTGCCCATATCTGAGTGGCAGATATTCCTCTGGATAAATCAAGTAGCCAATGATAAATCTAAATATTTTATGTTGCGTAGATAGAAAGAAAAATGGCTTGCTGTGTCTTTTTGTGTCAAATACAGAGATTCTGGGTAAAATTAGTGTTTATTTAAAAAAACAAAACAAAAAAAAAACAACATGCCAAGCAATTAACCAAAAGCAAACTTTCAGCTTTACATTTACAAGGCTTCTATAGTATGAATTGTTGCTTTTATTTTCCTTGTTAAAAAGACGGTTTATACCACAACACACAATTCTTAAAAACTATTTTAGTTTTAATAAATTACAATGAATTTACAAAAAGCATTGTTTTAAAAAACACAAAAAGAGCATTTGTTCTGATTCTTTAAACTCCGAACTTTAAACTGGCCGAGTATATTCAAAAATACTGACTTAAAATGAAGGAAGGAAGAAGGTCCCTGTCTCCAGGCTGTAAAAGGTAAACACTAACACTTTACCTTTATTGTCTTACATGAGACTTTATTGGCTCTATTCAAATAAATGAATAAATACTTTCTCACAATATCTGCTTTAGTTTAAGTTGATCAACTTCTGAGTTTTAGCAGAATTTCATATGAATTCAGTGGGTTAATTTAGTTAATCTGAACTAAAACGCTTCTATAAGTCTGCATTAGGTTTTATTCAACATGTGCTGTTTTTATTTACTTAAATGTTAAAAAATGATAGTCTTACTGCCCGTTTTTCCCTCAGGTTTGTGTTGCCCACAATGTTTTAATAGTGAACATTTAAGCATACTGACCCTGCTGTCTAAAAGCCTCGAGTTTCTTACATCCTCCTGCTGCCATCATCTTAAATACACAAAAACTGTAATAACGCAGTCCAGATGGCGTGCAATGACACTTAAAGTAAATCAGACAACATATTCAAAGCCAACAGTAGCTTTAGTGTGTTTCTACATAAATAAATGGAAAATTCATATCTAGGCTGTAAAACAAATCCAAACAAACACAATTAGTCCGCTGTGTGCCGATATGGTCTAAGCTGCTGCAGAGCTGTCTGGATTCTTCATTCCTCTGGAATGGTGCAGAAAGGACACAAGCAGTGGGCGGTTGTTGTTTTTTTTTTGTTATTCTTCTCCTCTTTAGCTCCCAGATGGTATCGGAAAACTAGTCATGACCTGAAATCAAGTTGAGAAGCAACAGAACAAGTTTCAGAGTTAACAACAGGATCAGGTTACAATCTGACGAACATTTGGCTTATAGCCAGATGAAAAAAAAAAAAAAGAGAAGAGATGTTGACAAATGTCTGTTTTTTGCTAATTTGAGAAAAATGCCAAGCAGATGGTAATGCTGGCTGTTGAAAACAAAAAATAAAAAGAAAGGAGATGCTGAGCTAATGAGTCGTTATTGTAGGAAGAAAACTCTAAATCAAGTTTTTTTTTTTTTTTTATAAATACTTAAAAAAATAAACAGAATGCAATGATCACAACTTTACACTCTTTACTCAAAATGACATTCATTTTACTTAAGGTAAAAAAAAATCCTCATTTCTAATTTTTACTTTCTTAAGACATACTTCACTTAAAAAAAGAACCCAATAAGATTTTTACCTAATATATTTCCTTAGCATTCATGTGAGCAAATATGTGAAAGAAAACACCAACTAACCTGTGATATATTTCGCTCCAATTAGCATCAACATGCTGCCGATGATGTAAAACCCCAGAGGGGCGCTGCTGAAGATGCTAGGTTCACCTGTTAGGCGTCGACACAGGGAAAGAAAATAGAGCAATGATTCCTACTGAGACATCAGTCAGTGGTTTATTTACTAATCTAATGATTCTTTACATGGGATGCAATTATCAGATGGGATCTACTTTAATTGTTTTTGCCGAACAAGCTTTTTTTTTTTTTTTTTTTTCAGGACGTCCAGGTTCCAAAGTGTACCTCCACGCTGCAGTATACACATTAACCTGCTTTGACTGTGTGTTAATTATCAATCACTCAGTTATAAATCATTGGCAGGGATTCTAAAACAAGGTCAGGGTGTAATTTTCACATCTGAGATATGCTAACAGATTCCATCTTAAAGGTACATGTTAGCATGATTGATGGTAGCTAGTTTTGCTGGACTTATGCTGCTATTCTGCCAAAGAAATACAATTAAATGTATTTATTTATTTTTGTCGTCTCAAAAAATGAGATTGTGTTTGGTTCCTAATTATTTCTGCTCAAATCTAGCTAGTATAGGCAGATGTTCCCTCTTGCTCAATCTACACCTTGAGTGTGCTGCTGCTACCTAAAGTGCTGGAGTTAGAAAGTTTTTGTACTACTCTTTCTGATCAGAACCAAAAATCAGTGGAACAGAAAATCTGTGTATGGTTCGTTCTTTGTTTTTTTCGTTTCAAAGCAAAAACCAAAAAACAAAACAAGCATGTGGTTTTTCTGTTTTTAAAACCTAAATCGAAAAAATGAAAAATCTAATTAATTGAAAATCAACAGCGTTTATGTTTTGTTTTGCCATCTAAATGAAAATAAATTACGGCTGTTGTTTTAATATGTAGCCGTACCGGAAATGAAGTAAGTCGCCAAAGAAAAATAATTTACAGTGGATGAAGACGGCATCAAAACAAACCACTTCTAAATAAAAGGCAATGGCTGCACTTGAACCGTTTTCTGCATTGATTATGGAACTTTTTGAGAGAGGGAAAAAAACACTCTGAAATCAGTGATGCTTTGAGCCGCCATGGAGCTCCACATTACTTGTTTCCATTTTGGTAGTGCTAACTGAAAAAGTTCTTCTTCTTGTGGATTGTAATGGCAGTTGGCAAGAAATTGAAGGCGTACATTACTGCCACCTACTGGTAACTAAAAAAGTTATGTGTTGGGAGTTCAGGTCTTCATTTCCGGTTCTGCCACAAGAACCGTTGAATTAACAACAAAATAAAAGTTTGTCTTTGGTTTAACCATTGTAGTAAAAAAATAAAATAAAATCCCAAAACGTATCCTTTTTGCATTTTTGCAAATGTCGTTTTTCTAATGTCGTTTTAAAAACGGAAAAAACAATAAACCACATGCTTGTTTTGTTTTTTCGGTTTTGTTTTGAAACGAACAAAACAAAACAAAGAACGAACCATACAAGGATTACAGAAATTTGGAAATTTATCCTGATTATACTCCAAATGTAATTGTTCAGCTCTAAGCTGATCTGGAGGTGAAGGCAAAGAAAGTTAAAGGCAATGATGATTATTCTTTCATCTCTATTTAGAGAACATGTTAGATTTGTTTCAGTTTTTTTGCCTATGCATTTATGTTCTCCATGGTCGCCGTTACAAACCATGAAAATGACAAGAACATTGTTATCTGCGCCTTTAGACGGCATTGAAACATCTGTTCCTCTAAACACAGTTGATATAATGCTACACACAAAAATAAAGACTAGTCAATGTAGGGAAGGTCTGCAAACTGTTGATGGGAGAAAGCAGGAACCATCCTTTCACTTCCCAATTTGGAATTTACAATTTTGGGAGCATTCCAGTTCAAACGTATGACTTTGAGGCTGGAAATTAAGATATCAAAGGACAAATGGAATGCAACTTAATTAAAGGCACATTGACTCAGTGCTTTTAATGTCCAGCCTCAAGTACGATGGAGGATCTATAATACTGTGGTCCAGACTTGCTAAAATTAAGTGATTCATGACTATAAGGTAGAGATGTTAAATCGCACATTTATCCATGACCCAGAGGATAAAAGGCCCAGAGGACCAAAGCAGAGATAATTACAATGATGTCAAAGACCAGCTGATGGTATCAGATTATTAAAACTGTGTAAATTATTTGTTACATAAATACTTTAAAGCATATTCCAAATGTTAACATTACCGTTTCCATTAATTGCAGGTGTCGTCGTCTCCCAGTTTTTCGATTTCTCCACCGCTATTTTCCACCTCGCGTACCGAAACTCGCTCTCTACATGGTGTAACACAAACACAGCAAATTAGAAACCAAACCGTTGATTGGAGCAGGGGTTGGTGATGCTCTCTGCACCTTCAGGGTTGATCTGAGGGTCAAACTTCTCCGATGTGACTTCGCTGAGGTCCTCTGGGTTCAGGCTCCACACGCTCACCCCCTCGGCCGCTCCTGCCGCCATCGCTGCTCCGAGAGCCGTGGTCTCAGGCATGGAGGGCTTCACTGCAAATACCAAGGCAGTCTGCACTGCTTAGCCAGCATATGTCGACAGCAGTTTTATATTTAAAACTAATTCATTTGTTTGTTATGGAAATAGTAAATCCTGTTTTCAGGTTTTTCCTACTTTAAATAAAGAAAAAAAAAAAAAAAAAACAGGTCAGCAGTAGTTGGGTAGTACTTTCTGGCCCCTGGTAAAGAAGACACCAGATTAAATCACATATTACAACTGTACACATTTCCACAGCAGCAGCTCAGTCTGGTTAAATATAGAAGGCCTTCATTTTGCCTTTCATTTTGCTCGATTCATTAGTAAAAAAACGCTTTGTGTAACAAGACCACGTGACACAGAGGTACAATGATAACAGATGAACGACTGGTCAGGTCTGGGCGGATGTTTAGTAGGAATCCCAGTGACAATTTTCCCTCTTATTTCAGAAGCAGAAATCTGCAAACTTCAACATAAGGAAGTGAGAAATATGCTACAAACTGTTAAAACCAATCAAATGCCATTTATTACGCATTCAGTTCTGATCCGGGAATAGAGATGTACTGATAAAGGCTATCTTAATGCTGATTATTATGACATTATTCCTGCCGATCTCAGATATGTGCAGCCAATTTATTCTTTGTTGATTTTTTAAGCCACTATTTCTGTTTCTCCCTCAATTATATGATAAAAAGTCCAAAATGATTAAACCAACCAGCAGATTGCTCACACTGAGCCTGGTTCTGCAGGTTACTTCCTGTTCAAAGGGAGTTTTCTTTTCCACTGTTGGGGCATACAACTGTTATTGTGAGGCGCTGCTTTAGAGTCAATGACACAATGAAATGTGTTGGGTGGAGCTATAGGATTAAACTGAATTAACAGAAAAAGAACAATCTACTAACAAAGCAAACATTAACAATGAATAGGAAGCTACATTGCACGGGCTTCACATGTTCAAAGGGATTGTTCTAATCTTTAAAATGTAAACGATCCAAAATGCAGTGAAAAAAAATCTGTCGTACAGAAAAAAAAAATAAACTGCCTTTAAATTAGTTCAGTTTTAATATTCTGGACCTAAATGTCCAGAATTTGAGGACAAAGGACTCCAAAGTGTGTCCCTTTAATCCTTATACTTGTCCTAATTAAAGATGACTGGTTGTAGAGCTATGACTGATTCCAGCCATCATACTTACTAGACTTTACCCTCTTCAACAATCATTAATCTGCCCCGATCAACCTCCAAACACTATAAAAGTCTGATAGCTTTGTTTTCTACACCACACATTCATTCCCTTTGGTGTAAACATGGACATGGACTGTTCTCCCTGCTGCCCTCTGGAAAGAGACTTTGCAGGATCCGATGCAGATCCAGCAGATTCCACAACAGTTTCTTCTCCACTACAATTAGATTGCTGAATGTTATGTA